GACATGTAACACCCCGGCCCCCACCCTGGCCGTAAGTGTTCGCTCATAGGATTGTAGACTGTCCCCACAAACCAACACAAGTCTTTCCCGCACACTTTGTCCTCACTCGTGCGCGCCCAAGGAAAACTTCCCAGGGGGTCACCCATCCTAGAATTGCTCCAGGTCAAGCACGCTTAACCTTGGAGTTTCTAGGTGATGAGCTCTCGATGTGGTTGTCATCATCATGTATGATTCCCATCATGTCCATATTCAATGTGGTTGTTAATGTAATACCTCGTATCAAGATGGGAATGAGAAGAGCTCAAAAGGATTGATAGTACTACTCATACCAACAAGGTGCATCTTCTTCTCGAGAGCTCATCACCTAGAAACTACTCCAAGGTGAAGCGTGCTTGACCTGGAGCAATTCTAGGATGGGTGACCCCCTGGGAAGTTTTCCTTGGGCGCGCACGAGTGAGGACAAAGTGTGCGGGAAAGACTTGTGTTGGTTTGTGGGGACAGTCCACAATCCTATGAGCGAACACTTACGGCCAGGGTGGGGGCCGGGGTGTTACAAATGGTATCAGAGCAACCCTGCGACCGTGACAAGCCAGAAGAGCTTAGTTCACCTAGCGGGGAAGATCTATGGGTTCAAAAAAAAGGATGCAACGAGGATGTTGCATTCCTAAGTGGGTGAATGTAATACCTCGTATCGAGATGGGAATGGGAAGAGCTCAAAAGGATTGATAGTACTACTCATACCAACAAGGTGCATCTTCTTTTCGAGAGCTCATCACCTAGAAACTCCAAGGTTAAGTGTGTTTGACCTGGAACAATTCTAGGATGGGTGACCCCCTGGGAAGTTTTCCTTGGGCGCGCACGAGTGAGGACAAAGTGTGCGGGAAAGACTTGTGTTGGTTTGTGGGGACAGTCTACAATCCTATGAGCGAACACTTACAGCCAGGGTGGGGGCCGGGGTGTTACACGACAAGAAACCATCCCTGCCCTCTCAAGGATGTCGTGCGCGAACTGAGTCTGGTGGAGGAAGAGGCCAGAAGCTGTGCGGTGAACATTAATCCCGAGGAAAAAGTGCAGATCGCCCATATCTGTCATGGAGAACTCAGCCTTGAGCTGTGCAGATCGCCCATATCTATCATGGAGAACTCAGCCTTGAGCTGCTGAATGAGACTCTGTAGTAGTGCTGGCGAGGATGCTGTGAGAACTATATCATCCACATAAAGTAGTAGATAGGCCGTGCCCATGGGCTGAGAGAAGACGAATAGAGAAGTGTCGACCTTACATCCTCTAAACCCAATAGTCTGTATGAAGCCAGCAAACCTGTGAAACCATGATCGGGGTGCTTGCTTGAGACCATATAGAGCCTTCTTGAGCTTGCACACATAGTGAGGGCGAGTGGGATCCTGAAACTCAGAAGGCTGACAGGCATAGACGGTCTCCTGCAGCTGGCCATGAAGGAACGCATTCTTGACATCAAGCTGATGAATGGGCCAACCTCGAGACAGAGCAAGACTGAGGACAACACGAACAGTGGCAGGCTTGACAACAAGGCTGAAAGTCTCGTCATAATTAATGCCAAAACGTTGGTTGAAACCACGAACCACTCAGCGGGCCTTGTACTTGGATAACTCACCGGTTGGGCCAAATTTATGTCTAAAGAGCCATTTACCGGTGATGAGGTTTTGTGAGGGGGAGGGGGGTACTAATTCCCATGTGTCATTCTTTATCAAGGCATTATATTCATCACACATAGCAGCATGCTAGTTTGGATCTTTTAGTGCACTACGGTAGGTTGGAGGTAACGGGGAGATGGTGACAGAGGCGTTAAGATTGAGAATTTGTTTAGGACAAAAG